TCTTGTTTCATTTATTCTTTTCCTACCCCCCCAAACCCCCCATGTTGTATCTCCACTTCCTCATATCAGGGAGATCATATGATAGTTGTCTTTCTCTGATTGACTTATTTCGCTAAGCATAATACCCTCTAGTTCCATAGGACTATTTTTTTTAATATCAAAAATACCATTTTTCACTTTCGTAAAACTTTTTCAGTAATACTGTTTGATATTTATTAGGTAGAGGTGAAACCAGGAAGTGAGGCTCTCATGTTGCTGGTGGAATATAAATTGACCAATTCTATAGGAAAGCAGTTTGGCAATGTTTCCAAAGTGATGAGACTGTTTTTAAAAATCAAAAGTCCCTACCTCAATGAAAAGAACATTTATGAAACTGATAGCTAAGACAAAAAAAATTACAAGAGCCAAAACTCCAAGAGTGGAGATTTTTTTCCCCAGCTTCATCAACTTTTAAAAAAAATAATAAATCACATAAAATATTACTCATATCCCTGAATTTGGGTCTTAATCTAATACAGAAAAAAAGCCATCACAAAATGGAAGGATAAGCAAAATAAGATAATCAGACTAAGAAATAGGATTAATATCCACACTAGACTTTGTAGCAGCCAACTACACACCAACAGGAATAGGACAAATGTACTCCCCTGGGGCCAACAGAAGACCACATCTGATTGCCTATGGGTGCTTTCTGCTAATCCAAACAAAAAGTTGGAGGCTGGTATCAAATAGTGAATGTTACAGAAACAGCATGGTAAAGGTAGATAATTCATAAAAGCCAGGAGTAAAATTCTAATATAGGTCACTAGTGTGAGGAAAACAACCCACAGTCGCCTCCACTGGCACAAACCCCAGAGTCAATTAAAACTAATTTGTCCTCTATTTCTGTACCATCAGCAACAACGAACACCTAATTTGTCCTTTCACCCTATATCCCTCTGGTGCCATCCATTCCTTTTTCCCTCTTCTGTTTAGTTTGCACTACAGACGTATTCAATCAGTTTTGGCACCCTAAGAATTTCACTTCCGTGAGAGGAAATTGAGTCAACACTGGTCTGTATTACCAGATGTATCCATGAAGTAAAGAAGTCAGGTACTTATAAGGTTATTTCTTAGATTGTACTGAGGCAGCAACATCAGGTCTAAGAGAGCTTAATCATGTCACCACACCTCAGTACTCACAGCTTTCCTTTCCCTACCTCAATCTTGGTTTCTGTGACCTGTTCTAGCTCTTCTGTGCAATAATTTGCACATTAAGGGTGTGAGAACAGTGAGAAAGGGATATCAAGTCCATGGCAATGGTGGGGATGGAGGTGGGGAGGAAGAGAAAGTGTGAACCCCAATTCAGCGTCTCACAGTAAACCGCTGTGCGTCAGACCTATGGCAATAACTTGCTTAAGGATGCTTCCTCATTCCAGCCTACTGCCTGTTTTATATTATCAGCTCCTGTGTGGCTCAACTGACACAGACTGGAGTCAGAAGAGCAAATGGAATTCTTCCTACACAGGATGAAGTAATATAAGGAATGCTAAGCAGAAGGATAGAGTGGTAGTTCCTCAGGGCCAGGGAACTCTGAAAGCCCAAGACAACCAAATGTCAACCATTTCTTAAATCCAGTCTATGGGGAAGAAAAACGTTCCACACTTTACTTCTTTTCCTAAATACTCCCTCTTTATTCATTCCCGAGGCTTCTAGGAACTAGATTATTTTGGTCTGAAGATAGGAAGACTTAGATCTGGTTTGCTAAATGAAACGAGACTACTTTAAATTGAAAGAAGAGAAAAAAGAGAGTTCTCTTTTCTAGGAATGTATTTCAGTCACTCACCACTCTGAGTGAGCATAAATTAGACTGACTATCCTGTCGCTTTAGCAGGAAAACTACCTCTGGGGGAAGGGGGAACAGAGCAAAATAACTGGGTAGCCAACCCCTGCCCAAAAATAACTAAAATTGGGTGCCTGGGTGGCTCAGTAGATTAAGCAGCTGCTTTTGGCTCGGGTCATGATCCCAGGGTCCTAGGATCGAGTCCTGCATCTGGCTCGTTGCTCAGCGGGGAGCCTGCTTCTCTCTCTCCCTCTGCCTGCTGCTTCCCCTGCTTGTGCTCTCTCTTTCTTAAATAAACAAATAAAATCTTATAAAAACAAAACAAAACAAAAATAACTAAAATTATTTTTTATCAAAATGGGGGAGGGCAAATCTGATATTAGTATCTGTCATTAGAGATATTTTTTAAAAAAAGGAAGTAGAGGGGCGCCTGGGTGGCTCAGTGGATTAAAGCCGCTGCCTTCGGCTCAGGTCATGATCTCAGGGTCCTAGGGATCGAGCCCCGCATCGGGCTCTCTGCTCGGCAGGGAGCTTGCTTCCTCCTCCTCTCTCTCTCTGCCTACTTGTGATCTCTATCTGTCAAATAAAATAAAATCTTAAAAAAAAAAAAAAAAAAAAAAAAAGGAAGTAGATTCAGAAGTTCTTCATAGTCATCTGGGGTTTTAAATGGCAATTTCAGTGAACCAGGTGACACCGTTCCTCCTTCCCTGCCAAATTAAATATTCCAAAATCTCAAAAAATACTGAAAAAACTGTACAGAGCACCTACCTCATTTGAACGACATTTAACTAATGCTTCACAAGTTATTGCCCAGATGCATAAAGTGATTTCGAAAACTACAAGACTCCAGATAGGGGCACCTGGGTGGCTCAGGTGGTTAATCAGCTGTCTCTTAATTTCAGCTCAGGTCATGATCTCGGGGTCCTGGAATAGAGCCTGTGTTGGGCTCCACAATTAGCAGGGAATCCTCCCTTTCTCTCTCCCTCTGCCCCTCCCCCCTGCTCTTGTGAGCTCTCTTTCTCTCATATAAATAAATCTTTAAAAAAGGAAAAAAGGGGCGCCTGGGTGGCTCAGTGGGTTAAAGCCTCTGCCTTCGGCTCAGGTCATGATCCCAGGTCCTAGGATTGAGCCCCGAATCAGGCTCTCTGCTCATCGGGGAGCCTGCTTCCCCTCCTCTCTCTCCGCCTGCCTCTCTGCCTGTGATCTCTGTCAGTTAATAAATAAAATCTTTTTAAAAAGAAAAGAAAACTTCAGATAAAACCACAAAGCTAAACATATATTTGGCCCAGTACCACTACGGTGACTGAAGGATGAGTCAAATACGGTTCTTTAGTGACCCTGGAACACCCACCCACCCCCTGTAGAGGACAACATGATCTTTGAACCCAGACCTCCAGTCCTAGAGTTCCTCCTTCTTAAGGCAAAGAAAGACCCTGCCAGAAGAAAAGCTTGCACCAGCTCCAGCTCCAGACGTTAACTGGTCAGTGAGATGGAGCAGCTGGTTTCCTCTCTCTATTCACTCTTTGTGCGTAGGGGGAGAGACGAGATTGCCGAAGAGATGTTTGGGGTTCAAGAAACCTCCTTCACATTCGACCCTTTCTCCCCCGCCACCCCAGGATGGAAGGTTAAGGCAGATAAGCCCAAAATCAAACGGAAAAGTTGATTTTGCATAGGGAGAAAAGGATTTAACAAAATCATCTGGGTATGGTGACTGCCAAGAGACCCCCTCCCCATTCCCACTTCTATCTCTCCTTCCCAAACCCATTAGGAATCACCTCTGTCTGGGTCACTGGACAAAGCAGCCTGGCCAAGCGAGGCTCAATCAGGCAATCAGATTCGGTACTACGAGTAAAAATAACGGGAAAGAAAGGCGACTACAGGGCCAGACGGCAGGGCAGGGTCTCCTACTCGAGAGGAGAGAAGCACGAAAAGAAGAGGCAGAGCGGAAGGCAGCGCAAGCTGGTAAAGCTACGACGGAATCCCGAGGGAAAGCGAAGCAGGGAGATGCTGGGTGGAGAGGAATTCGGAACAGCAATAGCAACAGAGAGGACAGCGCCAGGAGGGGGCGGGAGCGGGGGCCTGGCCGGTGACTCAGTGAAAGCGGCCAAGGGCGGGCTCCGGGAGCTGCACCGCGCGAAGGTGACCGGCCGCCGCGCGCGGGCATCCGGAGGCGGGCGCGGCCGCGGGGGCTCACCGTGTCCTTGGACGAGCCCAGCTTCTTGAGGCCGTCCAAGGGCAGCAGGTCGGCGGAGTCCTTATGAATGAACTGAACGGCCTGTTTCATCCGGCGCTGCTGCCGCAACGACGCCGCCTCCCGCATGTCCGTCTCCTTGCGGCCGCCCTCGCTGAGGAGCCCTGAGTAAAACATCGCTGAAGCGCCCGCGGCCCAGCGTCCCCGGTTGCTCCACGCTCACCCGCTACCCTCAGCCTCGAGCTCCTCCAGCGCCGCGAGAGCCTCGCGCCGAGCATTTTATAGCCGAGCGTGACGTCACGGGGAGCAGCCAGTGCGCGCGCGGAGGGGCGGAGCCAGCACTGTGCCCCACCTAGCGCGCAGCTCCCAGGCCTCCACCCGCGCTGTGGGTCTCCGCGCCGCCTCCGTGAAGGGAAGGGCCCGCGGGGAAGGGTGACACGGGCTGGACTGGCTCAGAGCGCCGAGGGTCTACCAGGACCGCTTTACCCAAACGCCTCTCCCGTTGTGGGTGCCCTGCACCCCCTGCACCGGGATAGGGTGTGGTGGCCCCACGGAGGAGCAGCTTCTCCCACCCCAGCCGCCGCCGCCGCCCGCGACTCACGCTCACCTGGCCACGACGTGGCCGAACCCGGGATCACCGCCAGCTGCGCCATGCTCCAAAGCCCTCCCTCCGCGCAGTTGCTTCGCGGTGCAAATTCCCACCTCCGCGCCCCTCCGGGAGCCCCAGCGTCCACAGCGCACTTCAGAGTTGGGAAGGCTCAGGATTTCTGCAACTTCAGGTCGGTCCCCACCCACCAGGCCACGTGACTGGGGAGGGGGCAGCCCCTGCGGGCGGGCGGGAGCCGGCTTTCCGGGGACCCCACTCCAGTGCCCTGGCTCTTGGCACCCTCTTTCCGCACGTGCGAACCCGGGTCTCAGTGGCGGCTGGAAACCTGCGGGGTCAGCTTAGTGGCGGTGGTCCTCGCCTCCGTGCAACTACACAGGAGTGCGTGGCCCACACCTGCTCTTCGGAACACCGGCTAGAAAAGCACTTTTATCTCAGCCAGGGATTCAGGGTTACCGTTAGGGAGGGTCTTTCAATCTACTCTCCAGCATGTTTACAGGAGAAACAGGAACCCAGTATTCTTTTGAGTCCTTCCTACTCACTCTCAACCCATTCTTAAAAAACAACCAACCCCCCCGAAAACTAATAGACTTTAAAAAATTTTTTTATTTAAATTCAATTTAAAAAATTTTTTTAAAGGTTTTATTTATTCATTTATTTATTTGAGAAAGAGAGGGAGAGCACAGAGGGAAAGTGAGAGGGAGAAGCACACTCTGCTGAGCAGGGAGCCAGATACGGGACTTGATGCCAGCCAGGACCCTGAGATCCTGACCTGAGCGGAAGACAGCCACTTAACTGACTGAGCCATCCAGCCACCCAATTTAAATTCAATTTAGTTAACATATAGTATAGTATTAGTTTCAAGGGTAGAATTTAGTGATTCATCAGTTGTATATAATACCCAGTGCTCAATACCTCAAGTGCTCTCCTTAATGCCCATCACACAGTTACCCTATCCCCCCACCCACTTCCCCTCTAGCAAACCTGTTTGTTTCTGTAGTTAAGAGTGTCTTATGGTTTGCCTCCTCTGTTTTCATCTTATTTTATTTTTCCTCCCCTTCCTCTGTGTTCATCTGTTTTGATTCTTAAATTCAACATGAGTAAAATCATATGGTATTTGTCTTTCTCTAACTTATTTCATTTGGCATAATACTCTCTAGTTCCATCCATGTGGTTGCAAATGGCAAGATTTCATTCTTTTCAATGGCTGAATGATATTTCATTGTATACACCATAGCTTCTTCATTCATCGTCTGTGGATGGACATCTGGGTTCTTTCCATGTTTTGACTATTATGGACATTGCTGCTATAAACATTGGGGTACATGTGCCCCTTCAAATTGTTATTTTTGTATTCTTTGGATAAATACCTAGTAGTGCAGCTGCTGGGTCTAGGTAGTTCCATTTTTAACTTTTTGGGGAACCTCTCTACTGTTTTCCAGAGTGACTGTACCAGTTTGCATTTAAGCCATTCTAATAGGTCCTTCAGGCTTCCTGGCTTTTGGCCTCTGTGTTGTGACTTAATACAAATCACATTTCCATGACCCCTGCCCCTCTCCCACCCTGTCTCACAGGAGGAAACAGAAAGCAGAAAGATCTGCACTCTGAAGAGAACCAACAAAACTAATAATAACGACATTTACTGAGCCTTTACTGTGAGTCACATACTGGCATAAGCACTTAAAATGCCGTATTTCATTGAGTCCTAGCAATAGCTTATGAGATAGTATTATCCAATATCCCCCATTTTACCCGCAAATAACTGAGACCTCCTAACTGGTCTCCTGAATGTTCCTTGGTTCCCTTCCAATCCATTGTTCGTTCTTTGCTGCCAGAGTAACCTTTTCAAACTACAAGCATGATCATCTCACCTCTCAGTTTAGAGCATCACAAAAAATTTCATATTGCTCTTAAGATTCACATTCCTTTTTTTAAAGAATTATTTATTTATTTTACAGAGAGAGACACAGTAAGAGAGGGAACACAAGCAGAGGGAGTGGGAAAGGGAGAAGCGGGCTTCTCACTGAGCAAGGAGCCAGATCCAGGGCTGGATCCCAGGACCCCAGGATCATGACCTGAGCCAAAGGCAGACACTTAATGGCTGACCCACCTTAGTGCCCCAAAGATTCACATTCTTGTGTGGTCTATCCCCATGTCTCTCTCCAGTCTGTACTTCAGCCTCAGGAGTCTTCTTCCAGTTCCTTGGAGGAGCCATTCTTGCCATATGGCATACCTTGAATATCCTGTTCTCTGTGCATGGAATGTCCCTTCTACCCTGTTCAGTAAACAGACCTCAGCTCCATTATCATTTATTTAGGAAAGCCTTCTCTGACCTCCCAGAGTGGGTGAATTTTCCCTAAATATAAGCTCTGCAGCTCTCCTGGACGTTTTACTTTTCTCGGTGGTAATGGTGGGGGTGTTATGGGTTGTTTGATTCATATTTATCTCCTTCCCTAACTATAAGCTCTAACAAGGCAATTGAGTCTTGTTTTTTGCTTACCATTAACTCCTTAGCACAGCACATAGAAGGTGGTCAATAAATACTAGTGTAAGCATAGCAAGAAGTTAAGGTCTTGTCCAAGGAAGGCAAGTGGTACAGCTGGAATTTTAAACCCAGACTGTTTGCCCCCAGAACCTGTGCTGGACTTCGCAGACCTGGAAGGACTGGGTTGCACTTCATGAACCTGCTCCTTGTCCTCCATTCCTATCTTCAATGGCTGCCCTAGATTCACAGCTCACAGACTGCTTGTGGGAAAATAAATCCAGAAGGCTGCTCATCTGGCTTCAAGAAAGCCCGCACCCCCAAGCCCCATTCATGGAGGGCAGGATCTCTTGGGAGAGACAGGCAAGAAGGAGGTGGGATTGTAGCTCACCTTCCAGTCCCTTGGCACGCTTCCAGCAGTGAACAACAGTAGCTGCCCTGGCCCCTTCTGTCCTGTTGCCTGGCTTTCTGCCTGGTCACTCCTCCAGGCAAGTCTCTCCCAGGGAACAGTGAAAGACAGCCTTGCCTTGTCTCTCTAGGACAGGTACCTCTGAGCTCAGTGGCAACGCATCAAGGCGGGCCCAACAGCTCCAGCCCCTGGGGCTTACCCTGGGACAGCTGCTTTCCTCTGGGAGGAAGCCAAGCAGGCAGATTCCAGCTCCCCTCTCTTCAGGCAATTCAACTCAGTCTTACAGCCTTTTTCCTGAGGATGACCCAATGGAAGAAAGGGGCTCTTTTTATAGCAAGATTCCCCCCTCCCTGTGGGAACACCAGAAAGCTGAATGTCTCTGAATGAACTGAATTTGTCCATATCAAGTGTTGCTGAAAAGTAAACAGGGCTTTGACTGGAGCTAGGGATCTTTGTGAATGCAGAGCCCTTTGCTGTAGTGGGATTTGTGTTCTGCAACATGATCTGTGGCCAAATCACAATTGGTCCCCTTATCTCTTGGAGATCTTTGTTAGCCAGACTGATATCATCAGCACGGGTCCATGTGGTGAGGCTAGCCTGCACATACGAGTTTCTGCAGACTCCAGCCTGGCTGCTCCATTTGAGGAGCCTCACCTCTGCTCAGTTTATCTCATTTGCCCAAAGAATATGAGAAAGTCACTTCCTGCCTCTAAGCCTCAGCTTCCATATCTATAAAATGGATGCCGTGAGATTGCATATAAAATTGGGCTTTGTGAACTCCAGAGAACTTTACCATCAGAGAAGATCATTATTATGATCTATTATTAATTCTCCATAAAGCCAACCTTCCCTGCCTTATTGACCTATCTTGGAAGAAGTATCATATAGTTGTTAAAAGCACAAGTTTTGTTGGAGTTTGACACACTAGGCTTGAGTCCCTGCTCTGCCACTTACCAGCTGTGTGACTAGTAAGTTTACTTCACCGCTGTGTTTTCGTTCCTCATCTAGAAAATGATGCCAGTAACACATCTACTTCTTAGGGCTGCTGTGAGGATTAAATAAAATAATACACATAACACACGGTGGTGCATAGAAAGGGCTCAGCAGAAGGTAGCTACCATCATCAGTGCTTGAGACAGACTCGGGAGAACCTGTAGGCTGCTGAGTCTCGGAGTAGGCCCTCGCCTATGCCGGCTACAAGGCTTTCTATGAAACTCCAGGCAATGCGAGTGAGACCTGAGTGCCTTATCCCATCTCTGGAGCCAAGGCTTCCCAAAGCAGGGGCTCGCCAGCCTCTGGATTCTGGATTTTCCATGTCATGTGGTTTCTATACTAAAGTTCTCTCCATCCTGCCTTGGCCATTGTAGATGATCAGTCCTTGAAAATTGTTCTAGTCAAGCCAATTCTGTTTCAATCAGGATTTTATTTGTGATGTTCATATGATAAGTGACAGAAGCCCTGTTGAAATTTTCTTAAACAGAAGTGTAAACTTTTTGGTTCCATTATCTAAAAGTGCAGGGATTTCAGGCATGGCTGGATCCAAGGGCCCAAGTGACATAACCAGTATAGGCATCGAGGTGATGCCACCGTAGGCAGGCTCTTCCTGTCTCTTGACTGTCAACAGCTCCCAGCTTATAATCTATTCTCCTAACACCCCTTCTTTGGGTCTTCAACTAACAAGGAGACCTCTGAGAATGGATACACAATGAGTGCTAGGGCCAGGAGGCCAGAATAGAAGAGAAGAACAGAGGGG